ATAGTCAAAGAATAAAATTAATTATCTTATGTAGATGGCACGATGACGATAAAGGCAATCATTTTTAGGATAGAGAAGAAAATTTTATGCTCTTCTACATGTGATTATTTTTTCCAACGAACTCTTATTTGAAAAAATTCTTTAACAAATGTAGGTTTGCTAGTAGCAAAGAATGAAAACACTGAACGAATGAATACAAGTAAAAAGCATTAAATACCCTACATCACCCTATTGCTATTCATGTAACGATAGTTCAAAATACGGCTAAGGTTTTATGAGAAGTGGTTGAAAAAGTGTTCCAATGCGAATTTCACTTTTAATAGCGTTCGTCCTTGAGCCGAAACACGTTAGTGTATCAAATTTCATCAAAATATCGCAAAAATTGGCGGTCTATAGTTTGAACACAAGACAAACATATGGTGGGACGGACAAACGGACCGAGAAGCTTAAGTCTATTCAGAAAGCGATTGAAAATTAATTGAGAATTGCTTCTAGCTGTTGCATACATCCATACAAACTTAATACGCTCGTATACCATAAGTGATATAGGCTAGGAAAGGAAAAAAAAAAAAACAAAAACAAAAATAATCTTAAATATACAATAACGTGAATAAACATTTGTTACTAATAATAAATAAATAAATTTAAAATTTTTCAACTAATGAAAAATCCCTACTTTTGTTCTTTTCTTTAAAGTAATTTCAAATGGGTATCGTTTGCTCTATCATGCTAGATAACTGACAGTGAACTTGTTGCTGTTAAAAATATTTTGAAATAAATGAACAACGCTGCTCTACATATATAAATAAAGTCGTATATAAATAAAGTCGTTCCACTTATTCATGGCACATGTAGATATATATGTGTGTGTGTGTTTCTGTATGTGTATGTGTATATATATTGTTAATTAAGAGACGGTAGACTGCGCTGGTAGTGTTGATCTGTTTTTATGTGTGACCATCAAAAGCAGATACGTGCTTAACTTGCTAATAAAGAGGAGAGAAATAGAGAAATGTTCGAAAAATATTATATTTTTTACAAAAAACATAGCAAAAAAAAAAAAGAAAATTGAAAAAAAGATTTGAAGATTTATTAAATATTTGGCAAATAAGAAGAATATTTAATAATATATTTTCTTATATATATATATATATATGTCATACATATGTTCGCATCGAAGAGAAGAAAGGAAAGTTTACCAGAGACGGCAAAGCCCATATATTACAATGGGTTTGCAATGAACTTCAATGCACTTTTTCGTTGCCGATGTATCTAGAGCCCGCCAAGAATTTGATGAAAACCTTTCTCTTTATTATTTTCCAACTTAATGTTTACATTGATATATATATATATATATATATATATATATTTTTTTTTTCAAACTCAATCAATTCAATTGCATTAGTACAAGAAACTAAAACTT